TCCTACCCCGCACATCTGTACGACGAGAACCCCAAGCCAAGTTCTTGGCATTGAAGTCCCCGAGGACAAGTACGGGGAGGGGATTACTTCCGACGACGACTGCTCTCAGCTCTGCAAGAGAGTTGTGAAACTCGGCGAGAGATCGGTTCGGGGAGAAGTACACCCCCACAACGACGAACTCCCCGAACCGTGCTGCTACGCACCCCTGACCCCTCCTGACACCTTCAAGGGTCGGGGTACCGGCGGCGGCTGAAGAAATGATGGCCACTGAGCCGTTAAGGTCCGCCACCCAGTCCTCCCTAGGCCAGACAAAATACGGCTCAGCGACCACAGCGATGTTGATCGACCACTGCGCCATGCTCTGGAGCAACAGATCCTGAGCGCAGGCGCAGTGGTTGATATTCGCCTGGAGGAAGCTTAATGGGGCCGTTATAGGCATTCCATTTCAGCTTCCTCCACGGGGCGCCTCTCTGCGGGCGTCGGTGTCGCGGCGGCGGCGGCAGCGACAGTGACAGCGGCGGCGGCGGCGGCGGCAGTCGCGACTGCGGCGGTGGCCACAGAGGCGGTGGCGCCGGAGGGCCTTCCCCTACCCGCGGCCTTGGCCTTGGCGGGTGGCACGCAGGCCTTGCTTCCGGCCCGGTGATCGGCTGGCTTGCCGGTCGCCGCACATGCATCACAGTGCGGCGTGGCGCAGCAGGTCGCCGATATGTGTCCGGGCTGACAGCAGCGGAAGCAAAGGCCACTGCGGTCAACCTCCGAGGCGCATTTCACAGATACGTGGTGCCCCACGAGACAGCGGTAGCACCTCAGAGGTCTGGGCTGCAGCAGCTTAACCTGCGCTGAGACCCAGCCCACCAGAAGCCTTCGGCCCTCCACTATGGTTTTGGCCGCCGTAACAGGGCAGCACACCGTGGCGGCATGCATACCCTGTTGGTCCGGGCGTATGGCGCCTGACCTGACCTGGTCAGTAGTGCACCCCCCGGACCTGGCGACGGCGGCCACTAACTCCTTCTCCGATACCGAGTCGTCCAGACCCATGATGCGCAGGTCTGCGCATCTGACGGGCCTGGACACTCGGGCCTCGTCCGCGTCCAGGGACGCTCTGAGCTTCGCAGCCAGAGCGTCCGCGGTCGCGCCACTGGATTCCCCGGGGATCTCCAGCATACGGGCCCCCGTCTGGGTGACTTTGAGCCGGAGGCCCCCGGTGATCCCGAGCTCCCCGAGATCCACCGCCTCTTTCGCCTTCGCGAGCAGATCGCGGTAGGTAACGCCCTTCTTTTCCGCGTCCGGCTGTAGTGTAATCACTACAGCTGCGGTCTTCGGGGCGCGGAGCCTAGCCGCCATCTTGCGCGCCCTGAACTGGCGCTGCCGCTCCTGCTCTTTGGCCTTTTTGGCTGCCTTCTTCCCCTTATTTTTGTCCCCGACCACCTGCCAACCGGCTTCAGCCGTGGGAGGTGTAGGGAGCTGCGGGGGCGGTGGCGGCGGCGGCAGCTGGCTTGCCGCTGGCGCTGGCACATTCGCCGCAGGCACTGGGGCTGGCGCAGCCACCACCTGTGCTGCCGCTTTGCCCTTTTTTGTCTTCGCCTTGCCTCTCTTTCCCGTTGCCGGCTTAGCCGGAGCCGGTTCAGCCGGTACCGGTTTTGCCGGAGCCGGCTTTTCAGGGGGAGGAGGGGCAACTGCAGCCCCGCCCGAAGGCTGGCTGGACGGCCCCGGCCTGGATGCGGCAGCTGTGGCCGCCGCGTACGAGACCGTTGCCGGCCTCGCCGCCGTCTTGTTTGCCCCTAGGGGGGGGGCGCAGGACGATGCCCTCCAGCACGGAGAACCGGTGCTGGAAGGCAGCCAGCTCCTGCCGGACCAGGTTCAGAACCTGGTTCTCCACCGGCACGGGCTGGCTTGGGCGCTGCGTCTGGGGCGCCGCGCGAGAGGCAGGCTCACGTAGACTGGCCAGGTCTGCGCGGAGCTTCTCGTTCTCCTTCTGGAGAGTCTCCATGGCGGACGTCAGGCGGGCCACTTCCGCCCGCAGCTCCGCTACCTCGTTTACATTAAGCTCGGCCCCAACAAAGTTGGCCTCCGCAGCCGCCATGATGGAGGCGGAGGCCGCGGGAATGGCCTTTAACTTTGAGGAGGCCTTTTGCTTGTGGGCCACGACCTTGATCGCGGCCTCCACCTCCTTTACGAATCTGGCCTTACGCTCCACCTCGGAGCCGCCAGTCGCATCCGTCTCTTCGCCTGATACCCGAGCCGTATCGCCCGGGTGGCGCCCCTCCTCGGCATGCTTTGCCGCTTGTTCGGCCCTCTGATTGTCAGAGGGCCCCCTCCCCTTGCCTCTCAGCCCGCCCCGCCTGTTGGTGGGGATTTTCCGGGCCGAAGTCTCCTCTTCTCCGGCTGACGACCCCTGGTCGCCATCCCGCCTGGACCGCTTGCGGAAGAACTTACTGGTCTCCGCGGTCCCAGGCTCCACGCGTCGGGAGCTCTCTGAGCCTCCCACGCTGCTCGATGCGGCGTCGGACTCTGTCCCCGCATCGTTCCTCCTCTCCTCTATCGAAAACAACCCCTAGGTCTCTAATTTGGTCTAACTGCTGTATATTATTATCTCCAATGTGATAGCTATAATCGATGGTATTACTTTTTCTCGCGTATTGCACATAAAAACATTTACTAATGTTTAAGTCCATTCGATTTACTTTGCACCATTCCACCAATTGATCCAAATCATTTTGTAGCTTCACTGAATCATTCTCTTCCGTTATCATCTTGCAAATTTTTAAGTCATCCGCATACAAGTACGCACAAGAACTTTTCATCAATTCTGGAATTTCATTAACGAACACTCCAACCAGAATCGGTCCGAGATGTGACCCTTGCGGCACATCAGAATGAATGTTTTTCAAGCCTGACTGATATCCATTCACTACTACAAAAAAACGCTCGGTCATTTAAACATGATTTTAGCCAATTCAACAAACTACCGGTAAACTTTCGAATCAATATCATGTGGGACCCGATCAAACGCTTTGCTAAAATCGGTATATATTACGTCGACTTGTTTTCCCGCATCAAGCGCTTCAATTAGTGTTTCCGTAATATGTACCAAGTTAGTACTCGTGGACCTAGATTTAACGAAACTGTGCCCTACAGGCACATTTGTGTGCTGGATTGGTGGAGAATAAAACCGCTGCGATATTTTTCTTTCTTCTATATTTGGTGTTTTCCTTGAGGTAGCTGGCCGCCGACTGTGTCGAACGACGAAAATCGCCCCTCTTTTATACCGCCTCGGGCTGGGTCAATTGATACGGCCGACGCATCGTACAAATGGCGTCGACCAATCAGCGCGAGGCGTGACAGAGCAAGTGACGATGCTGAGTCCCGTTATATTGTTTGTCTTAAGCTAGTTCTATATCTTACTGAGTCATTGTTTACATTGTTTACCTTAAGCTAGTTCTATTATACAAAGCGACCAACTAATTTTATTACACAAATATAAGCTCTACACTATTATTTTCTTAACATAAAATGCTTATATCCTATCTAAACTATAATCTCTATTAATATAAATGTTTATCCTATCTAAGTACAAACTAACTATAATATTTATTCCATTAATATAAATGTTTTTGTCTTATTTATGTATCACTATTTGTTTTTCTCTTGTCCCGCACATCACTCCCGCCGTGCGACCGCGTCGCATCAGCTTCCGGTGCGGGCTCGACGTCCGTAGATAGAGGCAGGATCACAAGCTTCCTTACTGGCCGGCGTAGGACACCTCCCTTAGTTAGCACGTCCACAGTCCGCACGACGTTGTCGGGACCCGGATATGTAGCGATGACTCTTCCTCGTATCCACACGTTGCGAGGCAGGTTGGGATCGACGATCTGTACGAGGTCGTCGACGCGTGCTGCTTGGCCTCGTCCGTGGGGCTCCCGCCGGTGTTGAAGCTCAGGGAGGTACTCCTTCACCCAGCGTAACCAGAAGGTGTCGGCTAGCCTCTGCGCAGCTCGCCAACTTGACCGTGAGAGGGCGTCTCGTTCGGTGAAAGTGCCTAGCTGTGGTACTCGTCCCGGTCCTCCCAACAAGAAGTGGTTAGGAGTGAGAGCTTCGGGATCCTCTGGACTGACTGAGACGTGAGTCAGCGGTCGGCTGTTGACGGTGTATTCCACTTCTACCAGTAGTGTTGTGAGGACTCCCTCCGTCGGATGACGTTCGTGTAACGTCGCGATAAGAGCGGTCTTGACGGAGCGAACCATTCGCTCCCAGGCTCCGCCCATAAATGGAGCTCCAGGCGGGATGTAGCGCCAGGAGATAGTCCTTTTTGCTGCTTCTTCTGCGGTCGCTGCGTCGACCGCCTGTCGTAGTTCCTTATCGGCTGCCTTCAGGTTGGTGCCGTTGTCTGACCATATTCCTGTCGGGCAGCCTCGCCGTGCGATCATCCGCCTTATGGCCATTACCGCGGAGTCAGCGCTAAGTGAGCCGGCAACTTCTAGATGTATGGCTCGCGTAGTGAGACATGTAAAAATGGCCACATATCTCTTTTGTCGAGTTCGTCCGACGGTCACCGAAAGAGGTCCGAAATAGTCCACCCCGGTGTAGGTGAAGGGGCGCTTGTGGTGAGCTAAGCGACACGTTGGCAGGTCCCCGGTTCTCGGATGCGGCGGTACTTGCGTCTTCATTCTGCAGAATAGGCATTTTCGTAGTATTGTGCGTACGATAGGGCGCAGTCTCAGTACCCAATACTGCTGCCGGCACTCGTTAACTGTGGCTTCTACACCGGCGTGATGGAGTTGCCAATGTATAGCCTGCACCCAGAGCTTGACTGTGTGATGATCACCGTCAATTATCAACGGGTTCTTGAATTTTTCCTCCATGTCGCAGACTGCTCGAATACGACTTCTAAGTCGTAGTGTGCCGTTTATTGACTCGACGCTGAGCTGGCGAAGGCGGCTCTCCTTATTGATCGGCTTCCCGCTGTTTAGGCTGTCTATTTCTTCCGCAAAGGATTCTTCTTAGGAGGATCGCATCAGAAGCTCTTCAGCTGTCTTAAGCAGCTCGGCTGAGACCATTAGCGGCTTTATGTCTTCTGGCGACCGCTTCTTTGTCGTCATGTGCGCCTGATATTTCACTGTAGCTTTGTTCTTTTTCCAAGTGGGATCAGCCTCTTTATTCTTCTTTGTTCGTTTGTAGTTGACTCTCTGTTTGGTGTTTCTGCAGAGTTGAATGAACTGTAGAACACGTGCGGTTGAGTATCGGAGTCGGTCCCAGTTGGAGAACTTCGCTGGATCAGGTAGACCTTCGGCAAGCCTCAATCTTCTTTTGTTGCTCACGTAATGTGTCCTTTCTTCGTCGGAAGGTTCTTCCGCTGTTGCTCTTGTGGTTTCTGTCGGCCAGAAGTCTTCTGTTAGGTATAAGAAGTCAGGCCCTTTGAACCATCGATGTTCTTTATTAAATGCTGCTGGTACGTCTCGTGTGGCGTCGTCCGCCACGTTCAGCTTTGTCGGAACCCAGCGCCAGTCGTTAACTTTGGAACTCTCTTCTATTGCTGCTAGACGGTGAGCCACGTAGGGCTTATATGAACGTGACCCTGTCCTTATCCAGGTTAGTACTGTCTTGCTGTCTGTCCAGAATACTTTGCGGTCAGGTTTCCTCTCGTGTTCTTCGACTACTGTTTCTGCGAGCCTGGTGCCCATGACTGCTGCCTGTAGCTCCAATCTTGGGATGGACGTCAGTTTTAACGGTGCCACCTTTGCTTTCGCCACAATAAGGGATAGGTGGACCTCGCCTACTGCTGTTACAGCTCTCCAAAAGAGGACCGAAGAATAAGCTGACTCGCTGGCATCGCTGAAGACGTGGAGTTCTAGGGAGGCCGCGTCACTGTAGTGAAGATATTGTCGCGGGATTGCTATTTCGTGGAGGTCTTCCAGATGCTCCATCCACATTTTCCACTGCTCTGCCAGGTCTTCGTCGATCTTGTCGTCCCATGCTGTTCCTCTACGCCAGACTTCCTGGAGGAGTTGTTTTGCCCTGATGGTGATAGGCGAGGCGAATCCGAGCGGGTCGAAGAGCGACATCACTATTCTCAGTGCTTCCCTTTTCGTCGGCTGCTTCCCTTCTAGGAGTGTTGAGGGTATTCTGGCTAAGTTGAGGTTGAAGGTGAGTTCGTCCGAGTGGATCTTCCAAACAACACCCAGAACTCGTTCCATCTTTTCTTCTGTTTTGTAGAGTTCCATGTCTTCTGTCTGGCTGTCTTCTCCAAGTGTTTCTAGGAGCGATGCTGAGTTTGATTTCCACTGTTTCAACTCGAAGCTGGCTTTCATGTGCACGGCTCGTACACTCTTCGTGATGCGTTTGGCATCTTCGAGGGTTCTGAAGCTGTCCAAGTAGTCGTCGACGTAATGCTTCATTATGATGGCCGCTGCGGCTTCTGGGTGAGTTTCCCCGTGCTGTTTGGCGTTTAGGTTCTTGACGTATATTGCTGTTGAAGGCGAACTCGATGCTCCGAAAATTAATGATGTCATTCTGTACTCTTCCGGAGGTTGGTTGTCTCGTCGATCCCCACGCCATAGGTACCGCAGTGCGTCCCTGTCTTGTTCTCGCAACTTGACTTGCATGAACATCTCTTTGATTTCCGCCGTAACCGCGATCATGTGTTGTCGGAAGCGCATGACGACACCTGGTAGCGACTGTAGTAGGTCGGGCCCTTTGAGTAGCATGTCATTAAGTGCCACCCCTTTGGTCTTGGCTGCGGCATCGTGTACCACCCGTAATTTCTCCGGTTTCATTGGGTTGACTACTGCAAAGTGAGGTAGGTACCAAGTTTTGACAACCTATATTGCTTTCCTGCAAAGTACTATATACATTGTTAGTATACATATATTTGGTAATGGTTTCTTTTGAATTTCATTGTGAATAAATAGTTTTATTCACATAGCTATATACGTTACAACCTATTAAAGCCCACTGCTGAACATAGGCCTCTCCCATAGGCGCGGCGCGCGCATAGGAGCGGCGTACTGAACTAGTAAGGCAATTTTAGCTCTATACTATTCTCGTAAATGGCCATAGGCCCAGCGTTCTGACTTATAAGGGATTTTTATATAGAGTAAGGGTGACAAACAAGCATACAGTCCACTTGATGGTACGTGGTTACTGTGGCCCATAGACAGCTACATCTATCCTCGATTAAGAATCAAAATGCAGATGTATTGTGACCCCTGAGGACTAAGATGGAATGCTTCGTTTCCAGTAAAAGTAGTATCCGGTTCTCTACACTAACCACGATACAGAGCAACATAACAACAACAAAAAGAAACACGCTCGCTAAGAATACCAGTGTAAAATAGCAGCTTACACTGGTATTCTTAGCGAGCGTGTTTCTTCTGAATGACAACATAATTTATTTACAACTCTGCCTGTTTTAAGATAAAAGTGGAAAACGATAAATTTTTCCAAATTCTCAACGATTAGTTTACCTATAAAATTCTTTGAAGTATCCGAATTTTTTTTACAACTTTTATACTTCCCTGAAATAGAGTTCAAACAAAACACTTTATTGAGGTTTCATCGATTGAACCTATATAAAGCTAAATTGGGCCGGCTGTTGTAAGTCAATGGAAAATCATTTGATCTTATCGATTTTGTTTATATTCCACTATCCTACTGATTCCTCGACAATTTCAGTGAAATCAAAGGTAGGTGGTTAACACTTATTTTGCATTTTATTTAATTGTGATGTCGGCAGGTGTTAATGAAAGAGAAGACGTGTTGCTGAGACTAATTCTTTAATTATACTGTTCAATAAACTTAAGAGTACATGTATTTCTTACACTACTAGTAGGGTGGAGGCATATACACTACACCTCCCCCGATATTTAAGAAAAAAAAGAAAAGTGTTCTATTTACTTTTTGTTTTACATGTTATTTTCTTGACAGATATAATAAAAATGATTAATGATTACATGTAATATTTAATTATAATATTATATGAACCCTGAATCTTATTACATAATAATAAATTTAATATTGAAAATTAAAATGAAATACAATGTTACTTAACCATTAAATTTATATAATTCCTCAATTGAGTAAAATAAAGCACTTAAACAAAATATAAAATTAATTCATTAAAAAAAGATTATAATCTCATGATCATGATCAGGTCAGGTTATACATAATATTATCGAGTCAATCCAGCAACACGTCTTCTCTTTCATTAACACCTGCCGACATCACATCCCCCTTATTATCTCATTTTAATTGTTATCATGTCCCTGCATGTTAATTATTTTCATACTAACACATCTCATTACATTCCCTTTTGATTGTCAGGACTTTTTTTTTTTTCATAATTGTTGTACGTACTTTATTTCTTTCTTATATTTTTGACTTTTAGCTAGCTTTATTTCTTTTGGTATTCTTTTTCCTTAAATATTTAATTATTTATTAGATATCGGGAATCGGAGTATTAATTCACTTCATTTACATTTTATTTCGTGATATTTATCACGCGGGTACTTTATAAATATGGGCCCCCCATTTACTTGGGTATTATATTTCTTTTTCATAACATTCATTTAATTTTATTGGTACATTAACTTTTTTATCACAAGGTAGAACTGTACCTTGGGTTGTGCGCACAACCTTGAGGTCTACGTTTAAGTCATTATAAAAGGACTCCAACAATTGTCACGGAGGAAAACTAAGTTCACACTATGATCCAATGAAGGATGTGACCTCTATGTACCATTATTAAGGGTAACAAATTTAAGACTTCTCTGGTCCCCAACAGTACTAATATGAGTAAACTCGTTCACATCTCACTTGTACTGAAGGTATTGTTCCCTAGTACCTACCCGTTACTTCCGATTTTATCATCCAATCATGGAAACATACCCTGCTCGAGGACTATATGCTTTACCAGTGATGGACGTTCCCGTATCTCTCCATGATTTATTTATCAAGGTCATCTTTTATTTTATTTTGATTCTTCGATCTTTATCTTTATAGTACCTGCTGTTATCTACTTGACTGTATCGGTAACTTTTATATACTTTCATACTCCATTTCCCTTACTAACTTTCATAATTCTCGCTCATAATGGTTTTAATACCAGGATTTTAAGCATCATCAAATATTTGGGTGATCAGTCCAATATTGATGAAACTTAGCAATTCAATCATTCGTATCCACACATTTGAAGATTCCTTCTCTCATTCCTCGCGCCTTTTAAATATATACTTTTTAATATTGTACAAAAAATGAGGTTATATATGTCAACTTTTCATGTCCGTGTTTAACTTTGTTAAGAAACATTACTATTAAAACCTCTATTGTTTTCCTTATCACATTAAAATGATCGTTTTAAGTATTTTCTAACTGACACAAAAGTTTATAGTATAATTACATCGCATCGTTTATAGTTATATTACTTTTACTTATATCGAATAGAATAGAATAGAATAGAATATTTTTCTATTCAATATCGATTATTACATAATTCTTATTGTAAGTCATTTTTTATCTACCACTGGTTCGGAAAATACCTCTGCCCTGGGAAGAACCAGCAAGAAACCCAGCGGGACTTTTTTTTTTCGAATCGAAAAATATATTAACATTAGTTATACATTTAATTTACATATAAAAATTTAGGATTGCTAGAAATTTAAGAAACCGTATAACCTCCAGAAAATAATTTGTAATCACAGTTAAATTTATATTAAACAAAACATTAAGTTATTTTCAATTTTTGATTTTTAAGCAGGTTATATTAACTTTTAGGTCATTTATTAAAGGTTATCTATTTATTTATATAGTTACTTTAAGGTTTTCATGCGTTTAGAAAAGAAGAAAAGTAATTATGACTTATAATAATAGCGATTTTTTTTATAAAACCCTTTTCAAAATTGTATACTTACATTTAAATAAAATTTATCACGGAAAATAATTTGGCTGAATTTAAAAATGTATTTACTTTAATACGAATCTTGTCATTGTAAAATATAACTTAATATATTGTTTTTTTTTTTTAATACAATACCTACTAAAATATTATAAATATTATAAAATGTTAAATATGACAAATATTTTCAAGTTATTTGCAAATACCGTGCATTTAATATTTAATGCATTACTTATTTATTTAATATAAAACATAATAAAAATAATTAAAATTAAATGTTAAAAAATTACGCTGATGCGATGTTACCTCTTATATCTTCTTTTTCCTTTTCGGTTTAATTTTCATATCTTACTGGACAAAGCTCGCTAAAGTAGGTACAACTGCTCCATTCCTTGTTAAATTAATTTTCCGTTTCTTGAATTTTGGTATTTGGTCATTATTTAAGAAATCACTTTTTATTCTCCTCATTCTTTCTTAGTTGCCTTCATAGTTATATTAAAGATAAATATATTATATTACTTCATATACGTTATAGTTTTTAATTTTTTAGTCAATTATTATTGTGGCCTCTTCTTGTATTCATATTTATTAATTTTTTGTCACATCCGGTATTGCGTCCATTCCGTTATAATATTTCTTTTATCTGTCATTTCACTTCATTATTTAATTTAAATTTCTTATAATATTTTTATTTATCTTTTTTTTATGTAGTAGGCCCCGGCGGTGCGCATGCATTGTCGCAGCGCACCGCCTGGCAGGGTCGCCATTTGATGTCGGCAGGTGTTAATGAAAGAGAAGACGTGTTGCTGAGACTAATTCTTTAATTATACTGTTCAATAAACTTAAGAGTACATGTATTTCTTACACTACTAGTAGGTTGGAGGCATATACACTACATAATATATCCCTGAGAAAATTACCACGTTAAGAATTTTGTTTTGTATGTGACGTGGAGTCGTTTTACATGTGTATTATTCTTCTTTTTCATCATCGTTGTCTAAAAGTTCACAGCTGGACAATATAACGTTACTATTTTTATTCCGGTAATATTTAAAATGATGTCATCATTGTAGAATACCATTCAGCTAGAGGATTCAGGGGAGTACCCGACTGTTAGAGGAAGCAGATTAGGATCAAATACTCGACTCTTATCAGTCATGCAACAAATATTATAAATATATATTATTATAACATATATATTATAACATATACATTATTGAGAAATTAACGTTGAATGACAAACATAAGCTAATGGTAAGTTGGTATGGTAACTCTTCCGTAAGATTCCGTTAAGAAGTTAAGAAGTTGTAAAATTCCGTTATCACTTCTGAGCTTTTATATGTATATAAGCGAAATACCACTGACTGACATCGAGATCACCTTGACTTGACCTCGTCATGATCATCGTCATCGTTATGATCATCGTCATCGTTATGATCATCGTCATCGTCATGATACGTCATCGTCATGATCATCGTCATCGTCATGATCATCGTCATCGTCATGATCATCGTCATGATCATCGTCATAATCATCGTCATGATCATCGTCATCGTCATGATCATCGTCATGATCATCGTCATGATCATCGTCATGATCATCGTCATGATCATCGTCATAATCATCGTCATGATCATCGTCATAATCATCGTCATGATCATCGTCATCGTCATGATCATCGTCATGATCATCGTCATGATCATCGTCATGATCATCGTC